GATCTCGCCAACCGTTCCCTCGATTTTGCTGGTAACTGTTGGTGGGAATCGATTTTGAACACCCAGTACTGATGTGTTCTTCTTGCTCACAATTGTAACAAGTTATTGGCTGTCTGTTATATTGGGTAGTTCTTGCTGGATATCCACTCTGGCTCGTATTTTGACGGGTTGGTGACGTTTCCAGATGTTCTAGCCTACGGGTTAGTACACGGAGAGCAGTCGTCAGTTCGTCAAGTTGGAGGTTTGGGAAATTGCTGGTCTGATGATATGATCTTGCTATCGGTCCGGATTCAGCTTTCTCAGCTTTCTTGGCGACTTCCATGGTATTCAACAGGGTTCCGTCTGAATTTACTTTCACCCACTTTTGTAACTCTGATTTTAATTCACGGTGGTAGATACGAACATGGCTCTCTTCATATATGTGATTCTCCGGGTCTGCTTTATGAAGCAGTTCGTAAAATTTATCAGTGTATTTATTTATGGTTCTGACTTGCTGTAACTCTTCTAACTCATCTCGTCACTTGTCTAATCTTTGATGGATCCAAAACTTCAGCGTGAAGTGATGTTTGAAATCATGTTCGTCATGATAATTATTTGTCCAGTTAGTTAACACAGTGGTATTGTTCGCCACTCATTCGTCAAACCAGATAGCAGCTGGTCCTTCCAAATATCCTTGCACGATTCTAATCCTTCTTGCGGGGATGATTCTGTTCACTTCTGTGACTACCTCAAAGTCTTTGAACCATGCAACTGGATCTTTATCACCTCCACAGAATTTCTTCATTGGAATAATCATCTTTTCCACGAATCTGGCATTCTGTCCGGTCAACGCGACTGTCAGTTGCTGCACGGCATTCAACACATTGTTAACGTTAACCATGTTTTCTTGTTCGTGGGATGGGCTTTCTCTTTGCTCGGGTTCGTTGTCTTGTTCTTCATCAGTTTGGCTTGTATCACTATCTTTGTTGATAATTATTTCCTCGATGTAGATTATTTCTTCTTTGTCATCGGTATGTGGGTTTTCTGGACTAAAGAAATCGATTAGATTTCCGTCTTTAATTGATCTTTCAGATCTTCTTTCTTCGTCACTTCCTTCGGTCTGCGTTCCGGCGTCGTTTGTTTTGGAGTAATACTCATTGGAATTGTTTTCTTCTGGATCCTCGTTGTCAAAATTGTTCTGCTCATTGGTGTGGATTCCAACGAATCTTTCGTAGGCGAAATTAATGAGCTGAATTTGATCGTTTACTACTAGATATTTTCCAAATAGAACGGTGTTCAATAAATGAATAATTCTTTGATGGATTATAATCAGGTGAACTTCACCGTAATCGTAATCGACCAGTTCTTGGAATGTTTGTTGTGAAATACGGTTATACGATTTTGCTCCAGTGGTTTCAATCCAAAGCCAAAATCGACAGAAAGGAAGAGTGTGTTCTTGAAAAGGGGAGTAACACAACGGGCAATAGGGTTGTAACGGTGAATTTCGTTCTTCTCCGGGAAGATGTTGTTCTAGATGATTATTGATCAGTTCACCGGTGAATGTGTAAACCTCGTTCATTCACCGCGGTGGAATTCTTCTCAAATTTCGGAATATGGACGAGTAATTTCACAGAGGGAGCACCAAAATGTTATGTCTATTTTTTAATTATTGTAATTAGAGAATAGTGAATAACATAAGTTTTTGAGCTAAGACTGAATAATTTACTTAAAGAGGGGTTCTCTAAAGGTTCTAAAGGTCTCCTGTGGTGATTTTTACAAAAATCAACAAGGTGAAGAAAAAAAATAATAACAAAGGGAGTTTCAATAATCAAAGAGGAAAAGTAGAGGTTAACTTAGCAGCGGTTAACTTGCTTTAACAAAACAAAAACTAATATTCTCAAATATTCTTCAGGTCTTCTTACAATGGCCTGGCACTACAAAATATGCTTTATAATAAGTACTATCACAAAAGGTTAGATTTATTGATATGACTAACAAAACAAAATACAATCAAAAAGATATGGCTTATTTAGAATAGAGGCCTTCTACTATCAATTTATGTTAGGCACAAAAGAAATAAAGGTCACTTTTGTAAAAGATTTGAAGATAATCAAATAAAAAGAATTACAACAAGTAAGTTTTTAAAGTTACTAGTTAAAGTTTTTATTTGATTAGAGCATGCTTTTAAGAGATTCAAGAGCACCTCTATATATACAAATTTTAATGGCTATACTAATTACATTTTTAATATAACAAGTGGATTACACACAATGTTTCTAATATTTGGTGTTAATCAAAATGTTTCTAACAATTGGTATAAATTAAAATGTTTCTAACATTTGGTGTAAATTAAAATGTTTCTAACATTTGGTGTAAATTAAAATGTTTTTAACATTTGGTGTAAATTAAAATGTTTCTAACATTTATCAAAGTACGAATATTGTGTAATAAAATAAAATAGGAGTAAGATATACAAGTAAAAAGTTAAAGAAATTATGAATTTAAGGAATTAAAAATTACTATGATAACATTATATTCTCCTTGAGAAGATTGAGCTCCAGCGAAGGTTAAATTTGTTCTATGATTTGTTGTAGTTCTTCTTTTCTTAAGCGTCCAATGCTTGAAGGACTCAACTCAATATTACGATATAGATGGTTGAGACCTTTCTTTTCAAATATTTTTCTAGTTCCACTAAAATTGTATTCTTTCATAGTAGTTGCAATGGTGTTAATTGCCTTTTGAACTTCTTCGGTGATATAGGGGAATAGATCAGCCATGATATTGTATTTTAAATTTCGTTTTGATGGGTGTTTGGCACTTTAAAATTTTGAAATTCCTCTTTTTTAACTGTCTTCTTATATAGATAAATAAATCATTTCACAGATTGTCAGATTTCGTATTTCATTGTATAACTAGTAATTATATTTGATTTCCATTATTATTATTCAGTTCCCTAAGTGTTTCAATTCTTCAATTCTCAACTTCTCAATTTCTCAACAGATTTTAACGTGTCTTACCACTGTAATGTTCTTGTTTTTATTCTATTGTCTTTTTCATTACTTTCTTTGTCTTGCTTTCTCGGTGTTCTGTCGTTGTCTGTTGGTTTTTTTTTTGTTGCCTTCCTTTTTCTTATTTATTTTATTGTTATACAATCAATTCGATCGATATTCTTAATTAGTCTCCATTTTTCATCTAACTAATTTTTTTTTTATTTTATTTTGTCGCTTCGCTGGTTATAATTATCATCAGAGGAAAATAGTCTCATCAGGAATGGTATAATTTAAGTTAGAATCCATTTATAGTGCCTTTCAATAGTTGGTCTTGTTGATTTCAGAGTCGATAAGCTCCATTCCTGTAGTCATCGTGAACGTAATACCATTCTTTGCTCCATTGTGGTGTAAATTTGTTACCATACACAGCATGTCTCTTCATGTCGTAAAGCAAGATTTTTTCACCAATGTTGAATGTGCTATCCGGTCGTAGGTGAGTATCGTACCATTCTTTCGATTTTCTTTGTTGTTCTCTTGTATTTTCTCTTACTTTTGCTATCCCTGAAGGTAATCCATCGATAATAATATAGATTCTTTCTAGTAGTTCTTTTTCGTTAATGATGTGTCCAAGAAAGGGTAATTCACTTCTTGTGAAATTGCATTTCTCTCGATTTAATTTCAATCCAACATTTCTAATTTTCTGAAGGACTTTTCGTAGGTGTTCGATATGCTCTTTGAAATTAGTCGAGTAGACATTAATATTATTGATATAGACCATTACATGCTTCCAGTTATCCTCGGCCAACATAGTGTTCATTGCGTGTTGGAAAGTGGTGGATCTATTACATAATCCAAAGAGGAGAATGTTAAACTTGAACAATTCTTCTCTTGAGATAAAGGCGGTTGCTGCTTTGCTTGATTCATCCATGGGGATTTGCCAATAACCCATAGATAAGTTTATCGAGGAGAACCATTTGACTTCTCCAATACTGTCGAGCATTTCATCTATTTGTGGGAGGGGGTAAGCATCTTTTCTGGTTACTTCATTTAGTTTCCTATAGTTAATGCATAATCTTTTCTTTCCATTTTTCTTTGTAGTCACTACGATCAGTGATGACCAAGGGTTGTTTGATCGCTGAATAATACCAGCTTCCAGTATTTTCTCAATCTCTTCGTGAATGAACTCTTGGTTGGATATGATTGCTCTATACATTCGTTGCTGAATTGGAGCTGCCTCTCCAGTCTTGATGACATGTCAGACTAAGTTAGTTCCTTGTAGTTGGCTGAAATCAGTAGTGAAGAGATCTTGATATTTATCCAGTAGGTGATCTAATTGTTCTTTTTGGTTCAGAGTGATGGTCCGTTGCTTGGATGATAATGGTTTTTCATTTTTATTCAGGAAGTACGCATCCAGGACTTGTTGAGCAGTTGAACCAAAGCCATCGGATTCTCTGCTACTTCGCCCTAATTCGCTTCGGTGATTTACTTGTTGAAGTTTTTCGATCGGAGCTAGTTGGAGAAAAACTGCCTGAGCGATTCGATCGTTTTGCCTAACGACATGGGGATAGTTGGATGTGTTGGATAATATCACTCCGATGTTGCCAGTATATCCTGCGTCGATTGTTCCTCCTTTCACTTCGATTCCTTTTTTGACCAAGGAAGATCGAGACATCAACTGACACATGGTTCCTTCCGGTATTTCCAAGGCGATGTGCAGATCGATTACGATCGTCTGTCGAGGTTCGATTACTAAGTTGGTTTGTTCAGGGTAATAGAGATCAAAGCCGGCATCGGTAGGATGAGCTCGTTGTGGCATTTTTCCTTTGTCTTCTTCATTGTAGACTTTAATTAGGTAGTTATTAATCTTCTCCTCTATTACTACTTCTTCTTCAGAATAGTAATCGTCTAAAATTTCTTCACAAGTGTCATAGGCGTTATCGCTATCGAATTCGTCTTCTATCTTTCAGGCTTCTTTCTCTGCAGCCTGTAGATACTCGAGAAGCTTGAAAAAAGTCTTTTGTGCGTTGTGAACTCCTTTTTGGAAAACCTATTGAGTCGATTCTAAAGTCTGGATGAGTTCATTAACAATGGTAGGTTGTTTTCGTTGGTGATCCATTTTCATTTCTT